TCCCTCAGCGACCAGCACAGATCAGCTCTAGGCATGACGAAGCGGATATCGTCCTCTTTTGGAAGACCAAACAAAGTAGTTTCGCTTTCACATTGAAACACACAGCGTCTTCACGACATGGCTGCAGCGTCAACAATACTACAGCGAGAATAAAAGTTACGCCTTCTTTCTTTGCGTGAACATTTGGGCGGCGTTATGCAAATCTTCCCACAGAGCGACGTAGGTATGTTAGAACGAGCCGTTTTAGGTAGGCGTGGTTAACTCTTAACTTTTATAAAGAATATCTCTTTGGATTTGAGACTTTAGTCTTTGCAACTTTACAGATCTTCTTTATGCACCAAGAGCTTGTAACACTCCAAAGAGAAAGGACAAATTGAAATCGCATCATATGACCCCTTTAAATGAATTCGTATCAGTTGGTGACGCCATAGTATAAATGAAGAGGCGGCGTCCTCTTTATATGTTCATAGGAAGCTAATCTACAAGACAAACCAGCTTACATGGTGAACCTAGTAGTGCTTAGTTCATGGAATTCAATGTCTGATCTGTTTCTTGTTATTTATTTATTTTCTTTTCAGTTTACACCAAAGGCGGGGCCTCATTTAGACTTACGCTATTCATCTCTCATGAAATCCTCACTTTTCTGCAGTTTCCAAACAACATTCACTTTCTATATACTGGTGCACAATGAACTCCTCAGTAGATTGGACCAAGGTCATCAATACGTTCCTCCAAAGACCAGATGGAGTCTGGCATCAGACTATTCAGTGTTGGGAAGGTTACTTTGGAAATGTAATAGGTTACAGATTACAAGTTACCCTATTTAAAATGTAACAAGTAGTGTACTATTTCAATTAGGCTACTTTATTAAAGTAATGTAACCAATTACATTTGATTACTTTTTGATTACTTTTCAAAATTTCTAGCGAATGTTTTCAACTTTTAATCATTTTCAAACATTAAAAGCAGGCGGGGTTAACCTTACAGTAGTACTCAACACTGATTAATGTCAGACTTTCAAAATCCTTCATCTCTTGAATTAAGATTATAATACTTACATTTTAAAGCACAGCCATCACAAAATCAGACTTTAGCACCTCTTTTATTGAGGTCTTTCTGAGGTTAAATGCAGATTTAAATTCATAACAAGAAACCATTTAATAGCTGTGATACTGTTTTTGAAATCAAATCTTTGCGTAGCTATGAAAGGAAACACTGGCATCTAATGATGCCTTGGGGAAAAACAGTTAATCTTTAAAAATAAAGCATATACATAAACCCAAATAGGAAATAAAACAGTTATCAAATAAACATGTGTCCTCTTCTGTGTCCTAAACTCCTAAAATATTGGTATTTTAGATCAGTCGATGCAATTTGGGAAAGAAATCAGTCATATCTGTATGTCTGTGAAAATATTCAGATAACCCCTTTGTAATCATTAACATTTTCATAAGTAACTAATTTAATGACACATTTTTCTCAGTAACTGTAACAGATTACAGTTACAGTTATTTTGCAATTAAATTGCGTAATTCCGTTACATGTAACTAGTTACGCCCCAACACTGAACGTATTTTACAGAGAACAACAAGCCATGCAAAACACAGCAAGATCATGCGATATACAGTCACTAAAGATAAAGTAGGGCAACCTAAAAGCTCCAACAGATGCTGTGAATCATGCATGATGGCCTCCTCCCTTTTTTGTCCAACATCTTACTTGAAGGTGCAGTGGAAAAATAGGTATTGCTGTGGAGATAATGGAATAGAGTATTAGTAGGTCAGTGAATATAAAGGCTGCATATAGTTACTTTATGCAGTGTGCTTTGTGTGTTATGTAGGCGCATAAGACACCATGAATACCACACACACAAACACACATACACACACGTTGGGTTTACAATATTGGAAACAATTACAAAACAAAATTCTCTTAAAGTTATAATATCTGCAACTTTGCTGCAGCTTTTATGTTGAAGTTATTTTGTTTTAGGAATGTCTAGGAAACAAGAAAAAGATACGAATTAAGCAAATTACTTTTGTTTTATGCCCTGGCCTCCTTAACTGTACAGCTAGCCCAGCAGATGGTGCCACTAAAATGTTCTGAGAGTGCAGACAAGCCTAAATTGTTTTATACATTGAACTTGTGTCTAATGTATAGACTCCACTTAAACTTTTTACTATCACTCATTTAACCCTGTAAAACTTGACATATGAAATATTAGTAAAAAAAAAAATCTATTTTTAAAAAATGTGTTCATTCAATATATAGACAAAATTACAATAACAGCATATAATAATGATAATAATAATAAACAAATATATTGCATGTTTTTTGTTGAGTATCATACTCAACAAACTCTTTGTGGCTCATATGGTGTGACATATAGGACGATATAGCCTAGTGATCATAATCGAGGAGGAAAAAACACCTCAATTTTATGCAGAGGCCCTAACTGAGCAAAAATATTATATTTTGTGCAGTTGCTGATATTTATATGGCCAAAAAGTATTACTGAATTTGGATAGCTTGTAATGTAAAGAAATTAGATCTTTATAACAGTAAAACAGACTAAAGATGCACAGTACTAAAAACTAAAGATGTAAATATCAGTTGTCACTCTATATTTACCAATAATATGTCTAACTAAGGTATTTAAATGCTTAGTTTTATGTTTTTTTATTTGCATAGTGGGGGAAAAACATATTATGCAATGCATTACAGTGTTGATTGAGAGATGCGTTTCTTCAATCAGTCCAGTAAGTGTTTCTCTTGAAATTATACTAACAATATAGAAGTTATTCATAAAATCAAAGATTTCACAGCAAGAATACACATGTATCATGGCCTGAAGGAGGACATTTTTACAAAAAGTCCTTTTACTTGCTTAAAAAAGTGTAAACTTACAATGGAAAATTTCTGGAAGATTTAAAAGTACGAATGTGATGCAATTAATGTTATAAAAGAAATAACATTAAAATTCATGAGCGTGTTGTGAGAAGGCAGAGGCGCAGTTCAAGATGTCCATCGGTATGCTGCGAGATTTTGTTAGCTGGATGGTCCCCTGGTGGGCATCTGTCCTCCGATTGGTGTCTGAGAGTCCAGTCGGTTTTTACAAAGGCTTAACTCAACATCTATCCATTCACTTATGTGCTTATGCTTTCCTAGTGATGGTGTCTCTCTCCTACAGTGCAGGGCATTACTTTGAATCCAATCACTTATGGCTATGTCTCCGGTATGTCTAGTGCTCCAAGATCTCTGTTTGATTACGTTGCTCATCTTTTTCGGTGGTAAGTGTTTAATATCCTCTTCTTTAATATCCTCCTTTGATTATTAAGAGAAAATGTGACCCTGGAGGACAAAACCAGTCTTATGTCGCTGGGGTATATTTGTAGCAATAGCCAAAAATACATTGTATGGGTCAAAATTATTGATTTTTCTTTTATGCCAAAAATCATTAGGATATTAAGTAAAGATCATGTTCCATGAAGATATTTTGAAAATTTCCTACTGTAAATATATCAAAACTTAATTGTTGCTTAGTAATATGCATTGCTAAGAACTTCATTTGGACAACTTTAAAGATGATTTTCTCAATATTTAGATTTTTTTGCACCCTCAGATTCCAGATTTTCAAATAGTTTTATTTCGGCCAAATATTGTCCTATGCTAACAAACATCAACGGAAAGCTTATTTATTCAGCTTCCAGATGGTGTATAAATCTCAATTTCGAAAAATTGACCCTTATGACTGGTTTTGTGGTCCAGGGTCACAAATATAGAATTCTAAATATTTTATGAGGCCAAGTAAATGTTTGTTTCTCTACAAAGTTTTGTGTAAGTGTTAGTATGGTTTTTAACTTGTTCATGTTTTTTGAAAGCTGACTGCCAAAAAAACTCCAAGATCAACTTTGCAAGTCTACTTGCCCTGGTGAGAGTATATACATGTTAATAAATAGGTCTTTTGCTATTCATCCATACATATTTATATGGATATTCCACACAAACATGATTATCTAAATAACTATGTAAACATTACATAAAACATTATTTACATATAAGTCCCCAATGGAGTTTTTGTCCAATTTAGCTCACTTCTGGGTCAAGACATATAAAAATATATCTGATGTATGTTGACAGATGTGCAGAAAGGGCAAAGGCACACATGTAGATACAGTACAACCATAGCAAGTGCCTAGAAAGGTCCTTCATCAGGAGGCAGTCAGTTAGCTTTGGACTGTGTTGTTGACATTGATGTTCAACCAGGATGTCCAGAAATTATATTAAAGGTATGTTCTGTTCTATCAGTCATTCTATATATGTAATCATTTTGTCATCCACATTGATAT